TGTTGATGCTGAGTTGAATGACGAATATTTCCAGATTGGTTTCAGGTTGATGAATGTGTTTCTCGCCTTCCCGATTCTCGATTTGACATCTTCGTCTGTTCCTCGTGTAGTTGAGACAATGCTCCCCAGATAAGTGAATGTAGTAACCTCTTTCAAATCCCTCCCGTTGATGGTGATTGTCTCTGGATGTTGCTGCTGTTGTTGTTGTTGATTGGTTGGTTATTTTCATAACCTCCGTCTTGTCTATGTTCACCTGGAGTCCTGTCTTTGCTGCTTCTTTGATCAGTTTGTCGATTTTCGCTTGTAAGTTTTCGATTTTGTGTGTGTGTTACCTGAATGATATTGGCTAATAGCGTAATCCAGGATGTGCAATTCGTCCAACTTGGGACTCATCAGAAAGGACATACTTGCAATGATGCCAACCACCAGACATTGTCAACGCATCTCTACTAGGAGCAAACACGTCAACAGAGCCGGGGTATTTCGATCCACTGACAATCAATCAACAGGAAATATAAAAGAAGATTGACAAATAAAATCTTAGGATTAGGACACCTCCCATCGTGGTTTGGCATAGGACAGACAAAAACAATCCGTAGCTCAATTTTGTCACAATTAATTGATAGTGGTCATGTGGTGGAGAAAACGAGAGCCTTCAAAGTAATTCATCGTATGCCACCTAATCTTTCCAATAGACTTCGTATTCGTCTACTGCATATAGAGCTGAGGCGATAGGCATTCGAACTATTAAACCTAAACTATGCTTATACAAAAGAAGTTCGTACAGCCATTATCCCTCTCCTATTGGCCTATCAAGACATAACTAACTAATGACTTCTACACCACATCCCTTAATCTTATCACATCTTCATTAAAAACGTGTTTCATTTACGTCCCTTACAATCTAGCATTACTTAATCAGTTCATTTGTTTTTCTTAGCCTTTTGGCTTATATTTGAATTTTTATTCGTAAAGTTATGTAGGCATATTAGAGTTAAGCCTGATGAGATCTAATTGAAAACAACAATATTGTTCGCTTAAATGTGTTGTTCTAAATAAAATCTTATCAAGACTAATGAATTGACACTTCCAAACTCTTCTCTTTTCTCTCTTTTTTCTCTCTCTAAGGTTCTCATTTTATCCTATTCAAAAACTCTTCTCACATATAAATCAAATTTTATGAGTGCAGCTCAATTCAGGTTCAAACAATCAACACCTATACGTATAAATGATACTATGCAACCATTAGATGAAGAAGCTGGGATTAATTATCAAATTGATAGAATTAGAAGCTATCGAAGTAATGTAAATAATTCAAGAATATTATTAAATGAAGTGGAGAAAATTAATCAAAGAATTAGAATGTTATTTAAAAATTTACTAAAAGAAACAGCAGATTATTTAATAATATCTAATTGTTATTAATAGACTGCATAATTTGAAAGAGGGTACAAAATATATTTTTATTGTTTTTTTAATAAAACAGAAGTATATATATATGTATACATAAATTATTATATTATTATTGTTTCCTTTAATTCCTAGAGGAACATAGGGCTTCAGCCGTGCGTCTCCATTGCGTTTGGTTCTCTGCTACAGTCTTCACCTGGCTCCAAGTCTGCCCACACCCCTTCATCTCCTCTTCACATGACCTCCTCCAAGTCACCCTTACATTGACGACCAACTCGCCGCTTCCCTTTCGGGTTCCACTAGAGCAATGGCTTGTCTAGTGATGTCACTTGATGGTTTCCTAAGAGTATGGCCAATCCACCTCCATTTCTTCCTGCCCATTTTTTTCATATATATATGCATGAGTCTGTTTTTTATTTATACATGTACTTCTGGGTTAACTTTAATGGAAGTGCAGTCAGTAATCAGCCACTTTTCTCCCTATAAACGCCTTAAACAGAAGTCTTATTCCTCTATTTGAGAATTGTTAGATGGGTATACCTACTGAGATTTGAGCCTAATGTTTACCTTTTCAAACAATGTAGTGCAATCCACTAAGCTGGCAAGCTATGAAAAACGTCTACTGTATCATATGAGATTAACAGACAAGCGAAAAAATCCTTACAGCTACGCTGGATATTGACAATTATCAAAATTAGTCTTGTTACAGTCTATACAGGTTTATGTCTAATTAACCATTTTTGTACAGTGACGAAGATTTAGGTCAGTAAAATAAGGGAGGTTAGTGTATTCCAAAAATTGTTTACCCTAGAAAGCTCACCATTACTCAGTAGTCAGTGAAATCTTAAGGGAACCTTTCAACTGTTCGCTAAATTCACATCAAACATTTAGGAAGATGGGAGGGAAAAGGGGATAAATAGTAGGCCTCAAACAAGTAGTTGAGCGATACAGACGAAAGGATGGGATCTCAGTGAAATATCCTTTGGGTCCATTAACAGCAGGCTATTTCATGCCAAACATCGAAAATGGGCCATTAACATCCACTACTTCTAATTTTTCAACTGTATACAACATAAGTATTATTATTGTTTTTCTATAGTTGGTTTTTAAGGGTTAGTTTTGTTTTTACGAGTTGATCACGGATTGATATCAGTTAGGGAACCATTGGAAACCAGCCAAGGAGTACTGGACAGCTGTTTCATCCTAGTTTTTGGGAATCATCGGCAGTACGCACCTACTGGGGTTCGAACCCAGGACCTTCCGGTTACAAGGCAAGCTCGTATACCATTCAGCCAGTGACACCCGATTCAATGGCTCATGAGTTCTAACTTCGACCAACATTGTTTGGGGTTGCGCTAAATCACGAATTGGTAGAAGTTAGAACTCATGAGCTTTTGAAACTGGTCTTAGTGGTTGAATGGAGTACTATCTTTCCCGCTTGCTTGTAACCGGAAGCTCCTGGGTTCGAACCCCAGTGGGCGCGTACTGCCGATGATTCCCTAAACTAGGGTGAAACAGATGTCCAGCACTCCCTAGTTCCCAATTATTATTATTATTATTATTGTTCCCTGGGGTTCTAATTGGAGCGTACGGCCTCAACATCACATCTTCACTTTGTCCTATTCTCTGCGGTCCTCTTCAGCCGACCTCACGATTGCCTATAGTCTCATCTCCTCCTCGCACTATCTCCTCCATATCACCCTCGGACACCTCGTTTCCCATTCGAGTTTCACTCAAGGGTATTGGGCGAGATGTCACCCAATGGTCTCCTCAGCGCATATACCATTCATCTTTATTTTCTACGGAATATTTGTTGGACGACAGGCTCTTGGTTGGTTCGATCCCAGAATTTCCTGTCGCAAATTCTTTATGGATTGCCATTTGATCTTCCATATGGAAACAGCTAAGGCAGTTACTAACAAAAGTCTGCAGTTGGCTTTTGAAAATGCTTTTTGTGGCACACGAGTCAAGTCTCTGAAGCATTTAGAAGAAATGATTAATTTAACGGTGTTGTTGGAAATCCGAATCTTGTTCTTTATTCTGAGTGCAGAAGATTTCCAAACTGATTTCATGGTGATGAAGGTCTATCTCATCTTTCCGATTCTGGTTTCGATATCCTCATCAGTGCAGACTGCCTGTAGTTAAAACGATGCTTCCTAGATCAGTGAAGGAAGTAATCGCTTTCAGATTTCTTCCAATAATAGTGATTAATGCTTTTTGTTGTTATTTGCATCACCTCCTTCTTCTCTATGTTCACCTGAAGTCTTTTCTTCGCTGCTTGCCTCTCCTGCTAACTTCTTGTTTCTCGCCTGTAAGTCGTCAAGCTTGTGTGTCATTAAGCATAAATCGTCCGCGAAATCCAGATCTTTTAGAGTCTTCTTATCTGTCCAACATATTCTTGCCTTCTCACTCCCCGCAGTCTGTTGTATAATCTAGTCCAACACAATCAACAATATCATCGGTAATAGTAGGTAGCTCTGTCTTACTCCCGTCTTCATTTCAAAGGCATTTCTGATTTCTTTTTGTTGTGGGTCACCTGACACTTGAAATTATCAAATAGCTGTTGAAAGAGGTTGAAGTAATAACCAATGTCATAAGCGAATATATCCCTTCTTACATTGACTAGTGAAAGCGCTAAAAGTCGCAAATTTACAGAAGTTACAATCCATAAGGCATAGGATTCCAAGTAGCTAAAATAGTCAACGAGCTTGACCTCATACCCTCAGTTTAGTGGGTTCGTGGGTCTGTACAGATGAATACTATCAAACTAGGATGAGACAGCTACCTAGGTACTCTCTGATTCTCCGTAGTTCTCTAACTGACATCAATCTGTTATCAAACTTGAAACGTAATCATAAGTTGAGATAAATCTTGATATGAAGAGAATGCCAGATGCAAGGATGAAATGACATCACTTATATCCCTTGCTACTGATTTTAAAAGATTACTTATTTTCCATTGCACAACACTTTCGTTTCAAACAAACCACATGCTTATTAGAAAAGAAGTGATGCATGCGCAATAGGTGCGTTCTAATGCTCTTTTTTGTCTCAGGGACAATAACTGATAAGTAAGTTTGAATGACAGTGAGTAGACTTTCGAGATAAAAAAAAGAAACTTATTAAGCAGTATGTCAAAGTTTACATATTTACTGTCAGTTCATATAATGTTTTAAAGTTAAGCTTTGTCGCTGCCCTGCCCTCCCTCCCCCACGTTGACTAACAAGTCTCACCAAAAAGAATTCAAATCGTTAAATAATTTGTTTTCTTCAAAATGATACATGTAGCTGAATTGAAATCAAGTCAGGCACTGTCACACTGTACAGACAAAAACAGTGCTCAAAAATAATTTCAAAAAGGAGAAGAATATTCTCAACATTTGGAATGTTTCCAAAAAGTAAAGTCTGTTGATTGTTTTCTTTTTCTCATTTTAAAAACGAAGGGGGTAAATAAGACAGAAGGGGATGAAATTTATCATTCTTTGTTTTTCAACAAGTACTTTAAATGTCGTAATTTCTATTATTATCGAAAGAGAAGTTGGCAAAATGAAATATAGTCAGCTTTTGTTATTTTAAATATGTTTATAAATTAACCGAACTTATCCATTCATTATTAGACAATAAATGAACTCTGATCCAGGCGAAGTGATTTTGAAAACAATAACTTGAAGTTATTGACACGATTGATCCTTTCATTGACGACTTCATAGAAAATGAAATACTGTGATGAACATCTAGGAGTTTAGAAGAAAAAATATTCAAAAATATCAATAATAAGGTTTTTGTTGAACAATATTCAATGAAATAACTGAACATACTCTTAATTTTTTCATTGGAAAAGTGAATAAGGCACTACTTTTTACACTATCTTTATCAATAAATGTTAGATGAAATATTTATGATTTACAAACATCTGACTAACTAAATAATACGGAATTCAAAGTCTTGATAGTACTACCAGATAAAGAAGTAACATTGGAGGTCTTAAGTAGAATTCTTAGTAAGTCTGGAATTAAGGTGGCATTTAAGGCAACTAACTGACTCGAGAAGGCATGAAACACATTTATCAACCTGAAACCAATCTGGAAATCTTCGTCACTCAGCCTGCATCAACAACAAAATTCGGATTTTCAATACAAACGTCAAGTCAGTCAGATCTTCTATACGGATGAGAAACTTGGCGGGTCACAAAGAATATTTCCAACAGCCTGTTGCAGACCATTATCAACAGATGTCTTCGCTCTATACTGAAGATCAGATGGCCGGAAAGAATCCCCAATAAACAAAACAAGAACCAATTGCTCAACAAATATGCAGGAGAAAGTGGAGATGGATTGAACACTCGCTGAGGAGGCCGCTGGGTGACATCGCGCGTCAGGCCATCGCTCGAGTGGAACCCGAAAGGGAAGCGGCGAGTGGGACGTCCAAGGCTGACATGGAGGAGATCGTGTGAAGAGGAATTGAAACAGTATGGATTAACATGGATGCAGGTGAAAAGTACAGCAGAAGACAGAAGCAGGTGGAGACGTGTAGTTGAAGCCCTATGTTCCACTAGGAACCCAAGGGAGCAATAATAATAACTGACTCGGAGATGAACTTTGTCATTTTAAAGGTAGGGGTCAGTTAGATTATAAGAACATAATAAATTTAGCTAGATTTGGATTGACCGATCCTCCTAAGTTTAATAATCTAGAGAAAGGCCCAATCACTCAGAGGCATTCAATTGCATGTAATTACACAATAGGATGGCAGAGGTTAAAAGTACTTAGAAGTAATCTAGGTGGCAAGAGAGGTTGGTCACTGAATCTTCGTTCGTCGAATCAATCTCAAACACTTGCAATCAAAATGGTGCAACGCCTATACCAGATATATCGAAGATTAAATTAAAAACAGGAGGAGACAAAGTATATAAAGCAAGCTAAGAAGTCATATGAATACACTGAGATATGATTGTCAGTAATATATTGTGTTTGAAACAATGTCATCCAATCAGTGATAATTATCAATATATTTTATAACAAATGAACTTGTGATGAGAGCTGTCTGCAAGTCAAAATTGTAGACAACAATTTCCGTCAGTGTTCACATCCCGAATCAGGGTCACGAGAAAACACAGTGACAAAGCTTAGCCTTGAGGAACTCAACAACCAATCACAGCGGAGTTAACGTGTGAAAATACGATTCTCAGATATATGGCTTAACTTTCTAAGAAATGGTCACAAGCAGTACAGAATACGGATCAGAGAATTGGCGCGTCATAAAGAGCATCTCAAACAAACTACACACCTTCATTAACAGTTGTCTTCACTCAATACTCAAGATCAGATGGCTGGCCAGAAAAGATCAGCAACAGAGATCTCTGGCAATGAGCGAACCAAACAAGCAGGAACCGATTGTGAAACAAATAGGCAGGAATAAATGGAGATGGATTGGCCATACTCTGAGAAAACAAACGATCAAGGGACATCACTAGACAAGTCATTGTTCGAGTGGAACCCGAAAGGGAAGCGGCGAGTCGGTCGTCAGTGCAAGGGCGACTTGGAGGAGGTCATGTGAAGAGGAGATGAAAACGTGTAGGCAGACTTGGAGCCAGGTGAAGACTCTGGCAGAGAACCGAACGCAATGGAGACGCACGGCTGAAGCCCTATGTTCCTCTAGGAATTAAAGGAAACAATAATAATAATGGTACAGAATAACCTTCAGCAAGATAACAACCAATCAGAAGAGGTTGCTTCTCTGCTTACAATAAAGCTAATAATAATGTACATAAAAATCCAAAAATACCTCTTGATCCTCTCAATAGACGATCTGTTGACTGGCCCTTGTCTTCTGTCGTTACAAACTTATCTAATATGGCAGTAGAAATAATTACTTTTCAAGAGCTTACAGTTTTAAAACATACTAATATTTTACGCGTAAATGTCAGTATATACTTTCTCTCATTGATGAGATCTTGTATTTCATGAAGGCTAGTAAGCTGGAAAATTATCAATTCCAAAACAATGACATTTAAGTACGCATAAGATTCCTCTTTGTCTTCAAGGATCATTGGTCTACAACCTGATGTTTGGATGACTAACAGTACCGTCTTGCAACCTGAAGATTGTGGGCGTATGTTGCTGAAGAGCTGCTAGCTAGAACTAAACATTATGATTACATTGTCGCTAATATTTTCACTTGATTTAATTTCATATTTTCTTCTTATTGAATAATATAAACAATGTAAATTATTAATTTAAGTGCCCTATTTTAATTATTGCCCCTGTAATGAGAAAATTAGGTGCAATACTGTATTTACATGCTGAAAATCCCATATTTTTACCAAAAGTATTGTTTAGAATTAAGCTATTATTATTACTATTAAACAGCTGTCTATTTCCCGTTGGTTCTCTAAGTGACGTCGCTTCATGACAAAATCTAACTTCGAAGTTTATCAGTAGAAAAGTCAGTAACTTTAAAACAGTGAAAATTAAATACTTGCGAGTTTCCATTGTGAAAATCAAAAGAAGTAATTCAGGGAAGAGACTCTTTTCAACGAATTTATCATCAAACTGTACAATCGTATATATATGGTTTTCTTTTAAGAAGTTATATCTGGTGAGGGAATTGAAACATAGGTGTGAATGCATAAAATAATGGTAATAACAGTAGTATGAAATGCAATTAAAACTAAAATGTTTGTGATTATAATCATAGTTAAATGTCAAGTGGCAAAGCAAATTAATGTGATATATAGAATAATTCATAGGATGGAGAGAACTTGAAAAAGGTGTGCAATTATGGGCGCATATGTAGCCCTGATACTGAGGAGGATGAGTTATACATCTTGAGGAAAATCCTAATAGAAAAATGGATTTCCACCACGTACTATGGACAGGAATATAGATTCAAATCCTATAAAACGTGACTTATCATCCGCACCCAAGAAAATACTGTACATGAGCTTGGAATTCAAAGGGGACTTAGCTTCCGATATCATGAAAAGAAGGATATCACAGTCCCTGAAAAGAACATTCCCTGCTACATCTCTGAGGATAGGCTTTATTAGTCGGCCATTATTGTTCAATAACCCGAGGGACAAGACCCTGCTGTTGACCAGCTCTATCTGTGTTTACCAATTCACCTGCTCGTGTGGAGCTAGGTATATCGGTCGTTCGACTCGAGTTTTGTCCAAGAGGGTACAAGAACACTATCCTGCATGGTTACGAAAAAATAGAAGTGGGGCAATAAGAAGCGCGATCATTGAACCTCTGGTCGATAATGATCACCCTATCTCTACAGTCTCCGCCTTTAAAGTAATCTAAAAGGCTAAAAGTAATTTACCGAAATCACTAAACACCCGACTCATCTGTATTGGTGAAGCTTTGGCTATCGAAATAGAAAAGCCAGATCTCTGTGTACAGAAAAAGTTCGATCAACCCCTCCAACTTTCATGGTCTTAATCCCTCTATGCTAAAGTATGGAAATCCCTAATCATATTTTGGCTCTACCGATTTTTCATTTTTTCATTTCTGTCTATTCAATTTGTATACTCTTCCTTATTAAGTCAATTGTTACTATTACTACTCTCACTTTGAACTGTCCCCGGTATTATTTCACTCGTTCCACTTGTCATTCTAAATCAATTCCTTTATGCAACATTAAATTCTATGCTATTAAATTTCACACAATATTACGTAACGTTTTTATTTTATTCGATTTGCCTACTAATCCTATCAACAGCAACAACCGACAACAATCAGCATAAATGGGAGGAACCTGAAGGAAACAACTTCTTTCACCTACCTGGGAAGCATCGTCTCAACTACAGGAGGAACTGACGAGGATATCAAAGCCAGAATCGGAAAAGCAAGACAAGTTTTCATTTCTCTCAAGTCTATGTGGATGTCAACAGCATTCAGCGTCAAAAACAAGATCCGTATTTTCAACTCCAATGTGAAGTCAGTACTACTATACGGATCAGAGACTTGGCGTGTCACAAAGAGCAGCTCAAACAAGCTACAGACCTTCATTAACAAATGCCTTCGCTCAATACTCAAGATCAAATGGCCGGAGAGGATCAGCAACAAAGATCTCTGGGAGCGAACCAACCAGGAACCGATCGTGAAACAAATAGGCAGGAAGAAATGGAGATGGATTGGCCACACTCTGAGGAAACCAGCAAGTGACATCACCAGACAAGCCATTGCTCGAGTGGAACCCGAAAGGGAAGCGACGAGTTGGTCGTCCAAGGGTGACCTGGGGGAGATCATGTGAAGAGGAATTGAAAACGTGTGGGCAGACTTGGAGCCAGGTGAAAACTACAGCAGAGAACCGAACGCAATGGAGACTCATGGCTGAAGCCTTATGTTCCTCTAGGAATTAAAGGAAATAATAATAATACTAATCCTATAACTGCACACCCCTTCCAAGTTCTCTCCATCCTATGAATTATTCTATATATCACATTAATTTGCTTTGCCACTTGACATTTAACTATGATTATAATCACAAACATTTTAGTTTTAATTGCATTTCATACTACTGTTATTACCATTATTTTATGCATTCACACCTATGTTTCAATTCCCTCACCAGATATAACTTCTTAAAAGAAAACCATATATATACGATTGTACAGTTTGATGATAAATTCGTTGAAAAGAGTCTCTTCGCTGAATCACTTCTTCTGATTTTCTATATGTTACAATGGGGAATTTTCCACGAGTTTCCATTTTATCTTCTAAACACCTTGGATTATAAGCCAAAGTTACATGGCGTATCGTTTGTCACATGTTAAGGGAAAACCGACTCTCATGTTACTATCACCGTCTATCATCTAGGGGGGGTTTATGGACTAAACCAAAATAATTTTTCAAAATATTTCAATAACCTGAACAAATTCATCAGTGGTTTCCTATTTACAGACGAAAAGAGTAACGGCTGGCTTTGTTTTCCCAGTAGCACACATGATCCAACTCAACACTAATTGATCTCATTCAGATCACGTAAATTTTTACGCATACAACTTGAATCAAATAGCAAATGTTTTGGAAATTCTTCCAGGTAGTAGAGGAATACACAATCTGGTAATTACGAAAAGGATTCTGCATTTCAAAAGGGATTTATATCCCTATATGAACAGGATACTTTCACTCAACAATCTAATTCTTCATAAAACTGATGAAGAAAAGTTACTTAATAATCAACCTAGAGCAATTTTATGTATGTAAAATACACATATTATTTATTATATATCAAATAAATTTATTCTTGCAGAAACAAGTCGATCCTTCTCTTCCGAAATGTCTGCATCTCAGTGAAATGCAAGAAACTGAAACAGAACAATCTCATTCACCGATCAATTAAGACGTCTGGTTGCATTCATTATCGTTGGTATCTTTATCTGACAACGATATAAACACGTGTATCTGACACTTCATTGAAAGCGATCACAACATCGCAATGATTATGTAAAATTTGACGCATATATTTTACGGGAATACAAATGTTAGAACTAAGAAATTTGTAACCCTGAAATGAATTTGGTATACACAGAGCTATTCGATTAATTAAAACCTGTTTTCACTTTTATTATTTCTTTAGCACAAATCTCTGGCCTACTTAATATCTCATGTTGTCGGCGACCATACCACGTTGAAAGCACCAGTTCTCGTCCGATCACCGAAGTTAAGCAACTTTGGGCCCGGTTAGTACTTGCATGGGTGACCGGCTGGGAATACCGAGGGTTACCGGCTTTTATTGTGTGCGTCGGTGGCACAGTGGTTAGGACTCTCGCCGACCATGAACATGGTCCGGGGTTCGATCCCAGGCCGACGCACACCTGATACTTATGGTCGGCCTGCAAAATTTGGGCTACCGATATGACATGCAGAAAATTCCATACCTGTACCAAAAAATACGGTGTGAAATCAAGCTGTAATCAAAAATATTAAAAAAATATTGGCTTTCAGATTCCAAACAAAACACTTGTTCCGAGTTAGGTGGTTGAAAGCAATTGTCGGGGAGCTATCGACATAAGTTTCATGATTATTGCTTGCACTTGTCATCAAAGTATGCATACGACTTCGAAGATTTGGTCCTCAGTCATACATTTTACCGATGAAGTTAAACTTTAGACACCTAAAACATGTCAACCTACCAGTGAACATGGAACGTTCAGTCACAGCTAGGTTATGAAACGAATTAAATTCATGCAGAAGAGTTGAATAAAGTGTAGTGGCATTAAATATAATATTTGGTTAGTTTTAGGTTAGTTTAAGGAAAGATTAAGCTTAGGTTTAGACTGGAGAAAGATTAGGATTAGGTTGACCTAATTAGGGAGATATTAGAGTTCGTTAAGAATAGAGTATGGTTAGCTTACCCACAGAATAGGTCTAGGGTTGGATTAGGGATAGACCGGGGTTAGGTTGAGGAGTTATTGGGGTTAGCTTTGAATTGGCATCCCGAATCCGCTTCTTGGTGCAATTTCTTGTTCCAAGGGCTTTTATGTACCTGTGCCTCTTTGGCGCCTAAAGTTGAACTTTCCTACGTTACTGCTGAGCTATTCGAAACACGATCAACCTCTTGTAGGACAGTATTGGATCCATTGATTAGCCGTTCTACACTCAAAAATGTCATGTATAGTTTTTAGTTGTCGAAGAACTCTATCAGTCAAATTTATACTGTATTCACTATACTGAATCACTCCCAATCACGGATACGCCAAGATGATGAATGGTGGTAGGCGAACAAATAAGGCTTGGAGCTTTCTGACGATCGCACTCAACAATCTAATGTCAGTTGAAAACGGAAAACGATAACGACTCAACTAACCTGGAGACAGCATTGCAAACTTTACGGGTAGAATTCAGTCTACAATAAGAAACAGGCACATGACACTGGAGATTGACCCCTACCTACTTGTCTGACCTATATTATTGAAGTCACAGTCACTGAGAAGTATTCTGTAGAATGAGTCGTTCTGTTTAGTTGAGTTAGTAGGGCCCTTTAGGCTATGAAGCTTTCCCTGAGTGGGTTTTTAGACTTAAATGATCCCCCACGTAGGGTCTAAGATGTCCCATATATATGACGATAAATTGTGCTTGAATCACCTCAGCAAATAACACTGAGTCACTGCTATATATTTATAAAGTAAAATTATTCTATGATGTAATCATGCTCTGCTAAAATGCCCGGATTCTATTCTTATATCTGCAAGTTTATGGAATTGTCATTTAGAAAATTTAATAATTTTTAAAGTGACCTTCTTTGTGCACTATATACAATGTCAAGTGTTTAAGATGTTTCTTAAATGTATAACAGGAACATTAAAACCATGATAATGCTAGAGTGGACCAACTTACTATATTTTCACAGTTACAGGCGTGATCAAGAGTTGATATTATTTACAGAACCATTAGAAAGCCTTGGAGTACTGAACAGCTGTTTTGTCCTAGTTTGACACTCTTCACAGCCCATGACCTTCCGGTTACAAAGCAAGCTCACAGACCATTCAGCCACTAGGACCCTATCCGATGGCCCATGAATCTCAACTTCTGCTAATTCGTGATGCATATAGTGCAGCAACCAACCTGACTTGGAAGACCCCACTCAACAACTGATGATCAAACCTGTAGCCAGCCAAATTCCTTCAAACCACCACTTGATAACTTTAAAGTTAAAAAAATGACTTATTTTAAATGCTAATAACATTATCAGTATCATCATCAGAGAGTAAAATAACGGAGAAATACAGTACTTACAAAAGATCGTAGCTGGTAGTCCTTGTTTATATTGAATAGGCCATCTTCTGTAGCAACTTCAATTATACCTTCACATTAATTCGCAAATCTGAAATGTTCTTTTTATTATACTGTCGTAGAACACAAGTATCATTGATAGATAGGACAATATTTTCTGTAGCTCTATACTTACAACCACCTTTATAAATAATTCTATGAATCCTTTTCTGATTTGGCCAAATTATATTTTCATGTGATAAACTTAATGAATGTTTTGGTCGTTTATGTGAACTTTTAACCGCATTCTCATCTTCTATATCATTAGTACTATGATGCAGTGTTGATGCCAGTGATGAATGTGATCGTTCATGTCGTCGATGTGGATATATCTTTGCTGATTTAATGATCATATTGTTAGCATGTTTTCCAATAGAAAGAGTGACTTTCAACTTTTGATTTTCATAAGTAAATTTTGAGGTTTCTTCATCAAAGTGTGATTGAATTTTAGGCTTCTTTTTATGTATTTCTTTATTTGTTTTATTATTCAATTCTGGGAAAAATGAAAGTGTCAGAGACCCCGGATGCCATGGAGATGAATTAGGCGATGATACATTCAATAAATCTAAATTTCATAATAGAGAATAAGGTAAAAAGGTAAAGACAAATAAATATATTCGCGAAATATACCCATTAAGACATTAAAATAAGAACAAAGTAGTTCAGCGAAGAGTCTCTTTTCGGCGAATTCATTCACTTAGCTGTACAGTCGCAAATATATATACAATTATTTTGTGTGTGTGTGTGTGTGTACATTAGGTTTGTCAAAATCAAAATGACAGTTAGTGTGGGTTGTTGATTATATCATCAAAATAATGAAGAAGTTGACATGTGTGATTAATAATCAAAGTTGTAACTAAGTGGGGTGAAGATTGGTAAGATGTGAGTGGGGTTACGTAATATAGACATGTTTAGAAAGATTAGATGCTAGTGAAGGAGTTTGGAGACAATTATGAAAATAAACTAGATAATAGGTGAAAAGATTGAATGGGTTAGTTACTAAAAATTGTTATACGAAAAAATTGCAAAAAAAAATTTGATAACAAAATGTTGATGACAAATAAACTTGAAATTAAACCCACGGTAGTAGGAGGGGGTGGAAAAGTTTCTTCTGTGTGCATAACTCAGGCTTTTCCATCCAAATCGCTAAGGCTTCAGCAATACAAAGTATACGGAAGCTTGTCGATTTTGGAAGGCTTCTTTTGACTTTATAGATGACTTTGAACGACTTCTCCTTGCAAATCGAATGACCAGTGTTGAATATATGCTCAATAATGGCGCTCCTTATTGCTCCTTTGTTACCTTTCCGTAGCCAGGCGGGATAGTGTTCTTGGACTCTTTTAGATAAAACACGCATCGAACGACCTATATACCTCGCTCCACAAGAGCAGGTGAATTGGTAGATACACATGGAAGTGGTCAAATGCGATAGTTTATCTTTAGAGTAGTTGAAGAACAATGGCCGGGAGGAAAATGTCAGTCGTAGTGTGGCAGCGAAGAATGTCCTTCTGAGAGCAGTAGATATCCTCTTCTTCAAGGTGTCAGCCAGAAGGTCACCTTTGAAGGGTACATTCATGTAGACCATCTTCTTCTGCACTGTAATGGGTTGTTCTTTGTACGTCTTAGGCTTAATGTGCTTGTCTATAAAACGGGGTGGGTAGCCATTCTCGAGCAGTGTCTTCCTTAAGAGGGCGATCTCTTCCTCTATTGATTCTGGACTACAGATTTTTCGGATTCTAGTCGCCAGAGATATTATCAAATTTCGCTTGCGACTTATTGGTACCCAACTGTAGAAGTTTGTCAACTGACCGTTCCATGTAGGTTTTCTGTGTACTGATCTGTTCAAGGTACTATCGGTCTTCTTACTGAGACGAACGTCCAGAAAGGAGATTGTCTCACTGGTTTCTACTTCGATTGTAAATTTGATGGCAGGGTGGCAACTATTGAAAACTTGAAGAACAATATTTTGATCACAATTGTGATCGCAGATGACGAAAGTATCATCGACATACCTTTTGTATAAGAAGAATTTGTCGATGGTTGCTTTCAGCGGACCGTTTTCCAAACTTACCATGAAAATATCAGCCAGTAACTAACCCATTCAATCTTTTCACCTATTATCTAGTTTATTTTCATAATTGTCTCCAAACTCCTTCACTAGCATCTAATCTTTCTAAACATGTCTATATTACGTAACCCCACTCACATCTTACCAATCTTCACCCCACTTAGTTACAACTTTGATTATTAATCACACATGTCAACTTCTTCATTATTTTGATGATATAATCAACAACCCACACTAACTGTCATTTTGATTTTGACAAACCTAATGTACACACACACACACACACAAAATAATTGTATATATATTTGCGACTGTACAGCTAAGTGAATGAATTCGCCGAAAAGAGACTCTTCGCTGAACTACTTTGTTCTTATTTCAAATAAATATATGTTGAATTAGGCAATTGGAAGACAAATTTCGCGAGATGATACCATTTCGTAGTTTCTTTACAACCGCTTTACAACTAACATGGTCAACATTAATAAAATAAAGATCATGACAATTACTCAGTCATATAAAAAACAAAAGTACATACTAATGACCAATCATATTTAAATAGGTCAAGTAGTCAGTTCATGGTAGGCGAAGGTTGAAGTCTATTGTTTTTTGTACATACAGTTTAAGCTGTATGTGATTAATCCACTTAATAATGTCAGGTTACAAAATCAATATTAATGACTGTTTGACAGAGTACCGTCAAACTTGCGATAGCGAAAGCGAAAATTACTTTTTTCAATGATTGTATCACCAATCGCGAATATCCAAAGTGGTTTTGGAAAGCACTGAGAAGAAGTCACATATATCCCAACAATGAATCTCTCCGACGACATGCATTAAATCGTATCGACTCTATTAAATCACGTACTCCAGAACTACAACGCAACATTTCACAAAGGTCTCCAGCCCTCCACGATCTGCTACCAAGTGAAACTCAGAGGTTTACTGAATACGTCAATTCAGTCACTGAAAAACGGGCACAATCTACTAATGAGTGTTTCACAATTATTTCACATAACTCTAATTCAAGGTTGGTTATAAAAGGTGACGGAAGCACTTTGGATTAATCACATACAGCCTAAATTGTGTGTACAAAAAACAATAAACTTCAGTATTCGCCTACCATGGACTACATGACCTATTTAAATATGGTTGGTCATAAGTTTGAACTTTTGTTTTTTATTTAACTAAGTAATTGTCATGATCTTTATTTTATTATTGTTAACCATGTTAGTTGTAAAGCGGTTGTTAAGAAACTACGAAATGACGATATCATCTCGCGAAATTTGTCTTCTAAATGCCTTATTCAAATTTATCAATGGGACTAACTGTTTTAAATGTATGTTGATATTTCCATTATGGTTATTTCAGAACTCAATCTGAGCGGATGTGTTTTTTCGATAACTTCTCGTCAGGCTTTAAATTAAATAATAAGAATTTCATCATGAGCTAACATCGGTTAGAGAACCATTGGTGTGGTTGCGCTATATCGTGAATTGGTAGAAGTTTGAATTCATGGGCTGGCCACTGGATCGGTTTCCAGTAGCTTAATGGTCTACGAGACCAGAAGGTCCTGGATCCGAATTCCAGCGGGTGTATACTGATGAAGAGTCCCACACCAAGGTGAAACAGCCGTCCAGTACTTCCCGTTGGTTTTCTAATGACTCTCTAACTGATGTCAGCTCATGATGATGACTAACTAGTAACTAGTCAAATCCCTGCAAACCACCACTTGAATAAATAATAAGATGTTAATAGGAGACATTTGAAACCAGTGTCGTTAATAGAACTAAAGTTGTGGTGAGAGCTATCTGCAAGCCATAATTGTAGATTACAATTTACGTCAATGTTTACGTCCCGAATCGTGGTCATGAGAAAAAACAATAACAAACCTTAACCATGAGGGACTCACCAACCAATCACGGCAGACTTAACGTGTGCAAATACGATCCGCAGATATATGGCTTAACTTTATAGGAAACGGTCACAAGCAATACAGAATAACCTTCAGCAAGAAAACAATCATTCAGAAGACGTTGCTTCTCTGCACATAAAAATCTATAAATACCTATTGATCATCTCAGTAAACAATCTGTTGACTGGCCCTTGTCTTCTGTCGTTACAAAGTTAAGGCATTTGAATTAGTGGATAAAAATCAATGATAATAATAATAATAACAAGGATAAATTCACTCAGGTCTTTTTATAATCTTGATAGTCAATCCTTTTGAAAGCATATATTCTTAGGGGCAGAACAAAAAAATAACTATCGACTCATAGTGATTAAACAGTACAGTGTTTGGTTTTATCACAGATTATGAAACTGAGATCAGAGTATGCTATTATAACATAGTATGGTAAGGATAATATAAATAGAACAAGACAAATAAACATAATATTTGTGGTTAACCGGTGTCATTGGGTGAGAAAGACAGTCTAGGTTGGCAAGGAAAAGGATTAAATAGTCATTCCTTCGAATTACAAGAGGAACATGGGGCTTCAGTCGCTAGAAGTTTAAGTAGCCGTAGTGTTGTTTATACGGAATGAGATTGCTAGCCTCATGACCGACCTTCCTTCTTTTACGAACTTAATAGTACCTAATAAACTAAACAAAATTTAGGAGTGCTTCGACCGAGAATCAAATTCGGGTATATAGAGTGGCTGCAAAGCATTCATTCTATCCCCACTAAATTCCAGAGGAAAAAGAGAAAAATAACCAATGTTTAATAAATACCAGATAGTAAATATAAATACAACGGTTCTCCTATAAGAATCAGAAACTTGACGAGCACGTCACGAAAAGCATTTAGAAGAACAGGCTTCAGATTTTTACCAACATCTTCCTTAGACGGCGCCACACTGAAGATAAGATGGTCAGAAAGAATTAACAACAGAGAACTCTGGGAACGAAAAAATCAAAAGCTTATCGTTCAGCAAATTTCCGAAGAAAATGGAGGTGAATGGGACACACCCTGAAGAGAACGCCAAGTGACACAGAGTACCATGCCATCTCTCGAGTTGGACCCGGACGCAAAACGATGTGTTCGGTGTGAACCTGAGGGCGACACGGAGAAGATCGTGTGAGGATGAGATGAAAGTTTATGGACAATCGAGGGGTTAGCTGAAAAGGCCTGTAGAGGACAGGACAAAATGGAAATCTGTTGTTCAAGCTCTGTATTCCACTCAGAACCCAAGGGAATAATAATAACAGGACGAATTATGAATATGTTCATAATTTACTTCTTTTAAAAATACAGTAGTTTTAGGATGGAGTCATTTTCATTTGAAGGTTACATCGAATTCATGCACTCTTTCAGCTTTGATGCTTCATTATAACTGTCACACTCAGTGAACAACTAATGAACCCTACACCTATTCCTCTTTTTGAATTTGAATAATGCAGAATAATGATGACCAAACAATAAGAAGACGTAAATCATCTGAAGTGTGTAATACATTTACAGAACAGTTTAGACATTCTCATCACACACACAAATACTTATCTTACACATTTACGTAAAATGTTATATAGTATAAAGAGTCAAAATTGAATCAATATAGGTCAGAATGCTTACGGGTCAAGATCACAGGCAGAAAGTGTGAAAATGGGGTAAAAATACAACTAATTAAAACAAGCTTTCACTTTAGAAGCAAAAGCTGGATTACCAAGTCTGACAAACAATACAGAATTACAATCCATCACAGCCTCCAAGTTCTATACTTTCATTAATTACCAAATCGGACTTAAAATGATAATTATGGTGTAAATGTGTTCATTCTACACAATTTTTTATTCCTTCACGTTCCCAGTGGAACACAGGGCTTCAAGCTAGAGGCTTGAAGTTTCTGTAGCAGTGTTTATTTTTCCAGGATGGGGTTGCTAGCCTAATGCCCAACCTTCCCTCTTTGCCAGTTCTATTACCAGCTTAGCGAGGTAAAGGAGTGCGTCGGTGGCCGGGGATCGGACCCCGGACCATGTGCATAGTCGGCGAGTGTCCTAACTGCTGTGCCGCCTACGCACTTATAAGCATTTATTCACTATTTATACAAAGTCATTTCATTTTTCTTTTCATACGGTTGACGACTAGTATAACTGACTAACTATAAGATGAACTTCATGGAGTTATGATGAGAATTCGTGACCAGTTGTGTCCATCAAGTCGGTGGTTAACACACATGCACACAGTCATCAATGGTACTAAATGACAGTGGTGCTATACCGCGAAATGACGAAAGATATAATTCATAGGTTATTAGATTGTAATACAATGGCTAAACGGTCAACAGACTCACCTCATAACCTAAACATTATGGACTAGATGCTTTACAGGGTCGTGAGTGCTCGCTGTTAATGAGTCCCAAACTAGAACAAGACGACTTACCTAAAGAACAGAGACCACGAGGTGCAAACACACAAGTGACATTGAACACATACCATTCGCTGGATTACAGAACTTGTCGTTATTACATTACCACTATGAACTATGTGCACGAACTGAAGTACTCACTTCATTCCGATATCGTTTTTAACTACTGTTAAGATAATGGGTTGGTAGCAAAGTTATGTTTAGGATTGGGATTAGGGTGTTTTATGATTATAAATAAATAAATGAGAGGAGTGCGCGTCATTTTCCATACGGGCAAAACCGTTTTGATGTATAAGAAACATTATAACGGATTCCTCTGATTGTAACTGGGATGTATTTTTTAGTTGCATCAGGCTAAAATCTCGTCTTTTATGTATTTCATTATTACATATGTGAATTTTTCCCGCAAATAAATGCTTTTCTGTGTAAAACACACGGCTTGTCCTCACTGGTAAATTCAAAGTCATTGGTGCGTTCACACTCTATGGTTACTTCTCTTTATGCTTCCAGATAAAGCAACTGTCCAGTACTATATGGTTTTCACCAGTTCTCTAGATGACACTGATTTGTAACAGAATCTACTGTGAAAGAGAATACCAACCTGCTAAGTTGAATTACCATGCATACAGTTTAATGTCAGCTAACCCATACATCATTATCAGTACAGGCTAAAAAGCAGCAACAGAAATAATAAGCACTGCTGTAATAATGTATTACATTCATAACTGTGTTAATATTTAATGTTATTTTCAAGCATAATGACAGCAAATAGGTAGCATAAGTTACTAAACAACATTTTGTAAACGTTTGTGTGGTAAGCAGTAAAACAATCTAAGCGAAACAACTATTTATTCATACATATGGATTCCTATTTCCAGTTCTGGACTGAACTGATCAACCTCACTTCAGTATATGAGCTTCTTGAATGGATATCTGTGAATTATCATGATTACTAACTTGATGTTACTTATTTGGTGGTTGCGGACAGTGATGTTCATTTTGTCCCAATTAAAACTCCACATCTGGACGTAAATGCTTCCCAGACAGTGATCGCTTTTTCTACTGAGACTTTAAACCATCCCTCATCGCTTCTAAAGCTGAAGAGTTAGTTATCCAGTGAGTTTTTGAGCCAAGAAAGCTCCTTTTTTAGGTATCAGCAGAAAATCACAGGTATGAATGCATCGTTTCAAATCAAACCTGTTGCACAAGAGGTGGCTTACATGACTCAGTAGGTCACTGATGAATGCCTTAGTGTTCGAAGCGATGGATGCTGGTTTCCAGTCCCAGTGAGGACACTCTCACATATTGGTGGGTAGTTGTATTCAGCCAAAAAGTTTGTAACGGGATGAAACTCAAGTCTTCGATTCAACTTCTAATCACCAACAAACAAATAACTTTGAAACACCTAGTTGTGTGTATATACCCAACTGTAAAAATAGTTTTAAACCAAAAATAAAATAAGTACTCACTGATCTCATTACGAATTTGAGCAGCTGCTTCACTTGGCAAAAGAAACCATCGTAAACTCTTGGTTTCATCATCAAAATTACCTGTATCATCAGCAACTGGTGATAGCATAGCCAGACTGATCATTTTGACTGCCTTGTGAAGCTCTTTGTGTGCAGTTTCTAAGCATTCCTTTTTGATAAATGTGAAACGTATATACATTGTTAATAAGCTATATACTTATTTCACGGTAACAGTAATAACAGTCATAATACCGTGGAATTAAACAATTTATTATCTGTATATGCTAGGTTATTGAATAGGTGTATTATGTTACCTCACCAATATAATAAGAAGCATGTAAATGTCGTGGTTAATATGTGAATGACTAGTGAAACTGTTGTCCCCATAAAAACAATTCCTGTTTAATACCACATTTTATAAGAATTCGGTAGAACATTCTAAGTTATATTCCTTGTATATACACATATATGTTCTTTCCCCAGTTCCTGCAAGGGGCTGAGCATTTCACCCCTGATAGGTCTGAGGGTGGGTATGCCTAAGTCTTCCCGTCATAATATTGTCATGTGGCCTCTACCAAATAAATCCTATCCGCTGCCTTCACACCACCGGTACAGTGTTCTTCACAAAAGTAAAAGTGTGAATGCAAATGTCTGGCTCATACAACCGGACTGGTAGACGTTTAGGTCTACCTAGGAGCGCCGGAAAACCCTGATTCCAAACCTATAGCATATATTGGCTCCAGAATCCTATAGTATCCAATGGTGTATGAACCTGTTCTGGTCACCGGAAAGCGTGGGAATGTAGCTCTTGACACTGCCCTACTGTCTTGTGGATCAGACTTCAAGTAAAAAGCTCGAGGATAGCCGCTTGAGAAAACCACGTGCTTCAGTCTGAGCGTCCTGGCAGTATTTCTTCGTGTCCACAATGTACGTAGTTTGAGTTTTAATAATAAGTAACTTATCTGATATATGTCTAAGACTTCCACTAAACAAATAGGTTAGAAATCATAGATTTTTAGTTAGTTTAGGAAACGCGTCGAAATTTTTTTTGATGACCAACCAATCAACAGAAATGATTTTGGCGGTAGGCGTATATCTAGCGATGGTAATAAAATAATATCTTCCAGTAAAAGTGTGGTGAAAGCTGTCTGCAAGCCAAAATTGTAGACAACAGTTTACGTCAATGTTCACGTCCCGAATCAGGGCCATGAGAAAAACAATAACAAAGCTTAATCTTGAGAAAATCACCAGCCAATCACAGAGGAGTTAACGTGTGGAAAAATGAATCCCAGATACATGGCTTGATTTTCTGAGAAACGGCCACAAAGGGATAACAGAATAACCTTCAGCAAGAAAACAACCAATCAGAAGACGTTGCTTCTCAGCTAACAATAATGTGCATAAAAGTCTATAAATACCTCTAGATTTTCTCAATAAACGATCTGTTGACTGGCCCTTGTCTTCTGTCGTTACAAAATAGTGAATAGCTTCAACCCTACACACCTTGTTAGCGTAGAACAGAATTGGGCAATTTCCCATAACATATTATGTTACAATATGCTCTAATCAGAAAGTCGAAGTACTGTAAACGATGCACTAGCTAACAAATGAAATCAGAAACGACCCAACTTCCTTTCATCATTATCTGGAGACCGATATCTCTCACAAGTAATGAACAAACATACAGTGTGAAACACAGTCATTAGTATTGCTTTGAGACTGTGATCACCATCGTCGTAAATACGTATACACAGATATTTGTCAGTGTTTAGCATTTTCAAATTATTTTAAAAATCCTTTCTCTGAGTATTCAGCCCTAGAGTAAACCGGCAGACAGAAGTGCTTCAGATCAAGTCGCAGCCTGCACCTCCCAATACAGAAAACTGAAACTGAATGGAAAGGTGTCATATACTGATGTGATCACAACTAGCTCTTTTTCAATTTAATTCTATCTCAGTGAACATTTTTGTCAAAGGTTGCAGAGTCCTTGCATTAGTAGTATATTCTTCATTTCATCTACTTCAGACGATTGATATTCACCTTATTGATATAAGTATAAAACTTGGGCACTGTGGTAGAGTATAATTCCATAATGGATAAGATTTTATTTTGATAAATCACACAGTGTAGTACAGTTATATTAACTGATGACGTTTCGAGCACAAACTATTGCTCATAATCATATCAACTTAATATGATTATGAGCAATAATTTGTGCTCGAAACGTCATCAGTTAATATTACTGTACTACACTGTGTGATTTATCAAAATAAAATCTTATCCATTATGGAATGATATTCACCTTCCAAATGAATAAAGAACACTTATAATTCAGATGAATAACTTTGATACAGTTGAGTTCTCTAAGCTAGGTGATTTAATTGCGAAGCTTTCGTTGTCCTCATAGATAACATTTTCAGAGCAAAGTGTAATATGAAGTAAAATTATCCGAATTCTCGAAAAATGACATTGTTGTCTGCTCTCACAACCATTGTCATGATTGGTTATTAATTTTAACCTTGCTTTACTTATACTCTACATTTAACGATAGCATTATTTGCTTTGTAGTTTCTCTTCAAGTGTGTAATACAACGGACACTCATATAGTCACCACTTTGTGACTATTTTTCACCACTGTTCTCACATAAGTAAAATAACTCCATTTTCGTATATCAGAATAAATAAACCAAAGTCAGTTCATGATATTAGTCTTGAAATTAATCAAACCCTTACAAACCAACACTAGAAAATTAATCTACTGCTCACTAGTCACTGATTACAAGATGAAGTTTCTTGAAGTTCCAATAGGAATTAGTGACCAGAAACGGGTATGAGGATGAATACTCATCGACGAAAGTGTCTGGCAGTCACACTATATTTATGACGAATTAATAGAAGTTAGGATTCATGAACTATTGGATTCTGTTTCAGTCGCTGAATGATCTAACCGCTCTCCTTGTAAGCTGAAGGTTCTGGGTTTGATCCCTGGCATGGTCACTGACAAGGAGTCCCAATCCAGTACACCCTGTTATTTAATGCTTCTGTAACTGAAGTCAGTTCCTGATTAATCTTGAAAAGATTAGCTGTCTTTGATCATATGTGTCTGTGTTCTATCTCCCGCGTGAAGTGGTATAATAGGGTGAGGAATACTGGGGTTAAGCGTCGATTGCTAGGTAAAGAGGGGAAATCAATCGACAAGGCTGTGGAATTACATCGACTGAAATGGTTAGGACATGTGTTGCACATGCCTAGTCATCGCCTTCCTCGACAGGCAATGTTAGCTGACATAGGGTCAGGCTGGAAAAGAGCTAGCGGCGGTCAAACAAAAACGTGGCACCAGTCAATGAAATCTACAACAGTTAGTCTAAGCCACGCAAGAAGGTGTAGACTTCCTGACTGGTTGGGGTCCTCGGGACGGTAAAAACCAATGGTTGGAAACAATTGGTGACATGGCTCAAAGTCCTTGCCATTGACAGCGCAGATGCATCCACTCCTTGTGACTTATGATTTCCAATGAAACTGTTTTGTTCTTCGTTATTACTATACCTTCGTCTCACACCTTTGTTTACTGTCTATATTATGCATTTCCCCTACTTTCTTCTCTTGCTTCGTGTGCTACATGGAGTGTGGCGACTTGAACTGCAGCACATATGTTCAAAGTTCTATGTCGAAAACAGACAGATAGACAGATAATCTTGAAATATTAGAAAGCAATGCTTACAATATTTTTGGCACTAATCTCGAAATCTTTAACAGACATTTGCTGCCGAAGTGTCCATTCCAAGTATTTTATGAAAAAATAGCGGAACTATTAGACAATATAAACATTTCTGTGCAAAAACACACAATTTCTTCATCATTTCCAAGGAAAATTTTATGTCTGTTGACCACGTTCGGTGACTATAAGTGTCACACAGAAACAGTCATAAATAATGCTTATAAAAACTATAGATACCAACTTTTAGCTCCAGTTTACTCATTTCAGTGGTTTACTTTTCCTAAGTACTGTTCGTGGATTAGTGGGGATCCACATAATCTTAATCTAATGAACTCCTAAACATAGGACCAATATCAGAAATCACTAGCAGTTACTTCTCTTTCAAAATCAAATGTATAGAATTCTAACTCTTTCTCGCATATTTTACACTTATATGGGTTAATTTCACATATCTTACATCCGAACATAAACACCTCTATTGTTAACCAGAATAAATAAAATATCAGTCAAGTAATAGTAGTAGTACTTTTTCGGGGAGAGCTATCTGCTAGCCAAAATTGGTAGATAGCAATTTACGTCCCAAATCTTGGTCATGAGCGAAAAACAAAAACAATGACTAACCCAACAGCCAATCACAGCAGAGTTTGTGTGGGCGGATACGACTCGCAGATATATGGTCTGACCTTCAAAGAAATGGCCACAAAGAGATGAAAGATTAACATTCAGCGAGAAAACAACCAATCAGAAGACGTTGCTTCTCTACTAAGAATAATGAATAATAATGTACATAAAAATACATAAATATCTGTTGATTTCCTCAATAAACGATCTGTTGACTGGCCCTTGTCTTCTATTGTTACACTTAAACTTACTGAATAACTTTGAGGTACAGGCATTTCTTGTTTTGGACAAGCTGTTGACCAAATCATTCCATCATCAGTATAACGTATATCTGTTAACCATTTACGACCAATTCCAGGATCATAATTACAATGAGTCCATTCAGCTGTGGCTGCATTATAACGATAAAATGGCAGAAATATCCAACCATTTGTAGCAACAAATTTCAGTGCATCAAGAATAAAATCAGCTTCATCGTCAGGTATAAAATATGGAAAAGAAACTCGAGTAAAACCTGGTCTGTTTAAGAGTACAAAAAATGGAAATCAATATACAAAAATAGAATTTATTAGCAGTCGAGCTCTTTTAAACAATGTTAATCAAGAAATAATAATATAAAATTAATGGGCAGTGCCCGAAAATGAAATGAAAATCTGCCTTTCAGTAGGATTTGAACTAGCAGCCTCTGGACTATAAGTCCTGCACTCCATTAGCTAATCTAGAAGACCCAACTGCTAGCCAGGTAATTATTTCACTGTAGTCACTACTGATAACGCTCAGCTATCATGTGAATGAACGAAACGCTACTTACTGTCTCTTTATCATCAATTTAGCCGCCAAACTAGATCTTCTCCTGTGTATCTTTTTTTTCCTTTACGTTCCCCAGTGGAACATAGGGCTTCAGGCTAGAGGCTTGAAGCTTCAGAAGCAGAGTTTATTTTTACGGGATGGGGTTGCTAGCCTCATGCCCAACCTTCCCTCTTCACCAACATTATTTCTGGCTTAGCGAGGTAAAGGAGTGCGTCGGCCGGGGATCGAACCCCGGACCATGTGCATGGTCGGCTAGCGTCCTAACCGCTATACCACCGACGCACTCCTGTGTATCTTAAAAATACTGAATTAGGATAGTCAGAAAGGATTAGAAATAAGGAACTCTGGCAGGCAGCAAAGTAGCCAACAACCTACCGGCCAGAAAAATATGCCAGAGGAAATGAAGATGGATTACACACACTCTAAGTAGATCACTGAGTGACATTTCGCACCAAGTCAACTTTCGAGTGAAACCCAAATGAGAAAAGACGAACTGAGTGTGCCTCCAAGGGTGACATGGAGGAATTCGTGTGAAGGCAAAATGGAAGCTTATGGGCAGTCGTGGAACCAGCTAAAAAAAGACTGCATAGAAAAAGGTGAAATGGATATAACCTTTTGAAGCCCACTCCCCACTTACCTGACATTCAATATACTTACTGAAGATGAATATTTACATTTATATAAGATAGTACGTCAAAGTATATTTGGTGACCGCAGTACTTACATCCCGTAAAAACAACACCGGTACTGAAACTTGAGAGCCACGCGAGAAGTATGACGTTGGATTCCAAGCCAACACACTCCCCAACCTCCCCGAGTTTACTAGCCGGTAGTAAACGCGAAAAAGAGGGGAGCTCAGGAGTGAGTCTGTCAACCTCACCCTGTAAAAACAACGTCGCAACCGAAACTGCGAAGCTTGAAGTCCTACGTTCCACTCGGAAAGCAAATGAATGAAATAGGGTGTCTACGCTAGTTTTGAACATCAGAGAAAAACTATCAAAGACCTACGTTTAAATTTCGTCAAGTAAAATTCGTCATGCTAAATGGCCCATGGATATACACCAATAACCATCAATCCAAAAACACTCAAAGAAGATTAAATCCATGTTGATTATAATAAGAAATTTTAAAAAATTCATTATTGTACAATAGTAAATTGTTACACAATATAATGTATGAGTAAGACATTTTTTCACACCAAAAAAGACAGAGTAATACAGATCACTTTCGACATACCTAATAACTTCTCTTTTAGGATATTCCTCGGATAACTTATGTTTTGACGAATCCAAGTTGCTGAAAACAGAGGCAATAATTATGAATTCATCGTGGTTTTATTCATGTAAAAGTTTTAACAAACTAGATAACTTTAATAAATACAGTTAGCTCTGGTCAAATAAGGACCCACTTTTTATCTCTAATTTTATAGAAGGCATTTTTTAGAAGAATACAACCAACCGATATGTGTAACTTTATATTTGTTGATCATACAATCAAATTTTTCATGCATGTTTAAAAAGAAAATATATGCTCTCCCGATAACTATAAGATGGTAAATTCCAAGATTTTTCTTTTATTTCCTATTTAGGTCTAGTTAGACGGTTAAGATCAAATGGCGAGAAAGAATTAGCAAACAGAGACTCTGGTTGGCGACAAACCAACCAAGAGCCGATTGCTCAACATATATTTAGGAGAAAATGGAGATGGATCGAGCATACGCTGGCTGACGAGGCCATCGAATGACATCGCGCGAAATGCAGACCGTCATTGGAATGGAATACCAATGGGAAGTGATGAGTGGGTCGTCAATGCCAGGGTGACATGGAGGAGATGAGAGATCATGAGCAATCATTCACCTAGGCAGATCAAGAGGAGAGCAGAAAATAAAAGAAAGTGGAGATGTGATGTTGAAGCCCTATGTTCTACTAGAAACCCAAGGGAATAATTATAATAATAGACGGTTATGGATATGGTCCTAACTAGACAGGAGTCCAACGCTCTTATCTGTATTAACCAGTCATGTCTTAAGAAAATTATTTTCAGATGTCATTGGCTATTTTCAAGTTTGATCAAGAACTAACTTTAGCTACAGGACCACTGAAAACTACCACGAAGTACTGGTCAGATTTCCTCTTCCTAGTCAGGGATTCTCTTGTAGTACTCATCCGTGACTATGAATAACATAATTCACATTACTGTTCACCGGCTAGAACAATGCACTGATGCTTCACCGAAATCAGTAAAGTAAAAATACTGTAATGACTAGTTCAATTACTTAGTGGTGTACACATTAATAAAAACGTTAAGGTAAAAATTCTGAATAATGTACGTAATACTAGTCACCTCAATGAATGATTTTTCATCAAATTTTTGAAATTTCTTGGTTTTGTGAAAACAAAATGAAGACATCTTATAATGAAAATAACATTCTGTGCCAACAAATGTGAAGTTGAAAGATGATCCATTTTCAAAGATTATCAGTAGAAATAGTGCAAAGAATGCTGTATTAGTTACGAAACATGAACCACTGAATGCCAGTAAGTACTGGACAGTTGTTTCGTCCTCGTTTGGGACTCTTCGGCAGTAGGCATCCATGCCCCCCCCTGAGGAATCTAACCCATGATCTGCACGTTACAAGGCTAGCTCGTCTACTATTCACCCTCTTGGACGTATTCCAATAGCCTATGAATCCTGACTCCTACCAATTCGCGAAATACATGGTGACAATAGCCAATGTCCAGTCTTGAAATCAGACAAATCCCTGCAAACCAACAGTTGAAAAGTCACCAGTTATCTCAAATAACAATCAGCCCCACCGTTGTAAGTACTTAGAGCACAGTAGTTACTTACTTAGATTAAAAAAGTTCACTTCATAAGAGAGAATATCCCCCAACTAAAACATTCTTCTAACTGTTATAGACGAATAACATCACCGAAATAACTTTTTGTATACCATTTCATCTTTTTAAAAGTTAAGGGAAGAAATTAGCTACTACAGTTGTTTTCAAACTAGACACGATTGCTTTCTAAAAACCAATGGGACTTCTCAATTTCCTTATCATATAATAAACAGGTGTATTACTACGTGTAATCACGAAGAAAGAAGACATATTATTAATTGAGAGTGTTTGTAGCTTTTATAAATTACAATATTACTAATATTTTTATTTCTATTTTCAAATTATACACTTAACAGGACAGGTGAGAGGGGACAGTGATAAATCAACAACAATAGGTTGCCTCTTAAGTAAAGTATTCTCCCCTAAGATGACAAGGTTTGAATATATGGCTTAGTAATCTTATTATGTAATTAGAGAAATGCGAAATGAAATGAATTACGAATTCTTATGCTGTCCAAGTTTTAGGAAAGTGTAAATACCATGTATTCAAAAGATGAATAATCTTATGGGTGGTTCACTGAACTGCTCCACGACTTACCTAATCTCCAAATGCTTTAGGGAGTATTTACAAAAATATCGACTGTTCATTTGTCTCAGTGTTTTGGGGAGCATTATAATCATAAAGATGCTTGACCGCATACTTGGTTGTAAAGGATATTGACGCTGAAAATTACAAGCGTATTGTACAGAAAAAATATTTGATATTATATGGTTAGAGGCAATAAGCCGCAGGAAGCCTTGGACCTGGGTTTCGTGCTAGCTGGCACTCACTCGTCAGCAAGACGTATCTGAAACCTTGAAGGAACTCATGTCATTCACGAGCCCGACTAGCTCAATGGTAGCGTCTCTGACTGCAGCACTGGGTGACGCATGTACAAGTCTCAAAAGGGACATGAGTTCTTTCAAGATTGCAGATACGTCTTGGTGACTGGTGAGTGCCAACTAGCACGAAACCCAGGTGCGAGGTTTCCTATCGATTGCCTCCAACGATATAATATCAAATATTCAAAGTATATCATGATGGCGAACCACTTAGAATTTTGGCCATATTACCAACATGATGGGTAGAATTCAGACTGCACCAAACAAAGGACTAGACACATTAAACTAGTTTCAAATCAGTGTCCAACCAAAAGAAAAAATAGAATAGGAGGTGTAAGAAACAGGTTTCAGACCCGCATCAATAACTGCCTTTATTGTCTGGATATTGAAGATCAAATGACCGATCAGAAAGAATAAGCAACAAGGAACACTGACTGTGCAGCGAACCAGCCAACAGCCTATAACCTAATAAATATCCAGAGGGAGCATATACTGAGTAGACATCAAAGTGATATCACACCCACTCCCTTGTGTGGAATCTAGAATCGGAAGCGACAAGATCTGCGCTGGCCTGAGGGTGACATGGGGGTCATATGAAGAGGAAATGAAGGATTGGGAGGCAGTTACGGAGCCAAATGAAAGGGACTACAAACAACTAAGTGGAATGAAGATGTATCGTTGAAACCATATGTTCCACGCGAAACACAGATACGAATAATCATGATACCTGGTTGTTGCCGGGCATTTCACACAAGAAATAACATGTTTTCGTGATTTACCCTAAGGCCTATATATCTCCCCACTTATGAGTACCAGCCTGAGTAGCTGTCTCATTAAAAATCGACCACTCTCCATAAAATGTCATGAAACTGTCCAAGTATATAACCGGTGACACTTTACTACATATAGACACACAATTATTTCTCTATAGTTCTCGTCTTTTTCCTGAATAGCAGTTTCAGCATCCCCATTAAAGTTAAGATATATAAATATATATAAAAAAACAATTCACTCACCATCCAACTAATGCTTCTTCATAAAGTTTTGCTAATGCTTCATCAATACCCAGTAAATCCATAGCATAAGGTCCAGCACAAGCACATCCACTACGTGCTTGTATGCCAAATAAATCATTTAAAAGAGAAGCAACAAAATTATGATGTAAAAATAAGCATGGAAGATGATGAGTAGTATTCGATGAAATAATATTTTTATTGACAGGATAAGTATGCCTTATGACAACAGAAATTATTGGTAGCCGAGGTGCCTGGTTTCCACCAAGTACTATTATATTTGGACAATCAGACAGCTTTTTCCATACACGCCTGTCAAAAGAAAAATATCAGATGAAATAATTAAAACTTTAAAAAAAATTGTTTTTATTGAAAAAGTAATCAATTCACAAATATTCAGTAACAAACATGTCTTTAGCTTTTACTTATATCAGTCTTCTGAATCCTCCGCAGTCACACATTACTGCTATACTATTCACCTAAAGTATATATTTACGAGCTTTTTTAACGTAGACGCGATATCCAGCTGTCAATCAAAGTTCATGTGTACTGCGCACCAGTTCTATCTGTTCTCTTTTATAGCTGTGAAACATGGCCAATGGAGAAGGAAGATATGAAAAGGCTAGCTGTCCTTAACCATAGATGCCTGCGTTCTATTTCCTATATTAGATGATATAATATGATGAGCAATTTTAAGGTTAGGCGTCAAGGTAGGAAAGTCAACTGATAAGACTGTAAAGCCACATCGATTGAAATAGCTAGAACACGTGTAATGTATGCCGCGCAACTGCCTTCCTCGTCGATTAATCTTATCTGACATAGGATCAGGTTGGAATAGAGTTGTGGATGGTCAGACCGAAACTCGGGATCAATTCACGAAATTTTTGACAGTTTGTTTGAGCCACACAGAGAGGCATAAACCCGCTGGTTGAGATCCTTAGAAAGCTAAGAACCAACGGTTAGGACTGTTGGAGATGCATTCGCCCTTTTTGATCTTTCATATCGATTAAATCTTTATACGTTTGTATGTTACTGTTCTTTCTCCGGCGCATCACTGCTCATTATAGTTTTAACTCTGTTCCTTTCTCTTTTCTCTATCTTTGCGTGCGACATGGAGTTTGACAAGTTGAAATGATGCACTTCTGAGCAAAGCTCTGCATTGGGATTCAGTTAGTCACCCATATTCGCATGTTGGACCTGTGGAATATTAAGTTAAGATTAACTGACATTATTTAGCGAGAAATTAAGAACTAAGTTGCTCGAAACAACTGCTCCTTTCTTTGTTTAGACTCTGTAACAGTACACGGTGTTTGTGAGGTGCACTTCTTTGAGATTACCATATTATGGTTACAAAAACAATTACATGGAGTGGGAAGCTGAATAGAGGTAGATTGCAGCACCAATCTTTGAATGATAAATGGTTTTCCGTCAAGTCCATAATCTATTCAAACATAAATTTTCAGGCTTTCAGAATGAACACTTCAGGAAGTAAAAGAAGATGTATGGGAAAGAAACGCCAAACACAGCACAGCACTACTATACTAACTAATATCAGAACTTATTATCACTTCTGTACAAACAATACACTAAAAGCCTACACGGAACGGATAGTTTATCAGTTTTTAAAGTTGTTCTCCTCTGGGTAGAAAGAGAAAGCCCGTAAATGCTCTTCCCTCGAGGATCAGGGAAATATGTATCGAGCAGTTTATAGACGAAGAGCTGAAAAATCTCCCAGGAATCTTGATTGAAAATGGCTTTCCACCCAGATTCATAGACAGGAACCTGAAACCAAAGAAAACTGCTGAACAGGTCCAATTCGCTTCCAAAGGGATGCTGATGATTAATCTCGAATTTAAAAGTGATACTGAGGTAGAAATTCTTTGTAAACAGCTTTCGAAATCTCTCAGTAAAATATACTTCATTGCCAGTGTACGAATGACATTTTCTTCTAAGGAACTATTCGACCAGCACGTGAAAGACAAGCGTTTTAATTGGGCCACATCAGCATGCATATATCAGTTCACTTTTCCTTATGAAGTCGAGTACACCGGCTCTACCATGTGTCCGTTTATAAAACGCGCTCGAGAACACTATCCAGGCAGTCTAGCAAAAGGAGGACGCAAGCGTATATATAGTTCGGTAACAGGATACTCAGTTCCATTGTGAATGTCCTCCAAAGTCCTGTAAAAGACCGGGTCGAAGCTCTCAATGGAAGTGAGATCAAGACATCCAGACGTAAATGAGGCACCAGTGATTCGAAAATTCAAGCTCACTATATGTATTCAAAAGAAATACATCCAACCTTTGTTCCTACCATGATCATCATAATTAGTTAATTCTATCAATATTGATTATCCTATCACCTTTCTTATCCAAACTTCCTGTCTATTTCCGTTATCTTTACTTCCTTTATACCCCTATTAGCACTACTGTTTCTTTTTTATCCAGATTCATGTCTTTTCCCTCATCCCTACATTTTTTTAATCCCTAATTTCACAAAAAGTCAATTTTCTAAGTAATTATGATCCTGCCGTGTTTTCATCCTATCTTCCTGTTTTATTTTGTCATTATTCACAGTCTTTTAATTTGCCCCTTGACCAGAAGTATTTCTGGAACTTCCTTACCCACTTACTATATATAAATGAATGTACAGCCTAGTTGATGACTTTGTCAAAAAGAAAATTTTCTTTGCTACAACCGTCTTTTTAAATATCAGATTTATTCTAGTTTACTTACTAGTCAAGGAAAAAAGGGGAAAATTAGCTAAGCTGAATTAAAAGACAAAAAAGTGAGAACATGATTGCGATCTACACACTAGTGCCCACAAAATAACTCAAGACAACCTAAAAGGCGTCTAAACTTCAGGTTGTATCAGTCTATATCAGTTGACGGAGGTTTTGGAAAAACTAAAGTCACCTACCTAAATGTCTAACTAATGAGTAGAAATAAATTCGTATTTCGAAATTTCCCTACTTGTGGTTTCCACAGACTCCGCCTTTAAAGTCATCTACAAGGCGAAAAGTAATTTGCCGAAATCACTACGTACCCAACTCATCTGTATTGCTGTAGCTTTGGCTATCGAAACAGAAAAGCTAGATCTCTGTTTACAGAAAAAGTTCGTTCAACGCCTCCAACTTTCATGGTCTTAATCCCTCTATGCTAAAGTGAGATAATCCCTAGTCATATTTTGGTTCTACCAAATTTTTTCGTTTTGTTTATTCAATTTGTATACTCTTTCTTTATTACTATTCTCACTTTGAACTGTCCCCTGTATTATTTCACTCGTTCCACTTGTCATTCTAAATCAATTCTGTTTCGAGATGTTAAATTCTAAGTTATCAAATTTCACATAATGTAACGTAACGTTTTTATTTTATTCGATTTGCCTACTAATCCTATAATTGTACACCACTTCAAAGTTCTATACATCCTATGAATTATTCTATAGATGATACTAATTGTTTTATTGCTTGGAGGATTTCATCATGAGCTGACATCAGTTGCAGAACCATTGGGAAACCTGGGAGTACTAGACAACTGTTTCGTCCTAGTATGGGGCTCTTCAACAGTACGCACCCACCGATAGAGTACGAACCCGGGACCTTCTGGTTACAAGGCGAGCTAGCTCATAGGCCATTAAGCCACTGGGACCCAATCCAGTGGCCAGCCCATGAATTCTAACTTCTACCAATTCATGACATAGAGCGACTACTTCGCAATATCTTCTTGTTTCGTCACTTGACATTTAGCTATGATTACAGTCACAGACACTTTAACTGCATTTCATACTATTATTATTTTATGTATTCCCACTTATGTATGATTTAATTCCCTCACCGGATGTAATTTCTTAAAAACCAAATATATACGATTGTACTGCTTGATAATAAATTCGTTGAGAAGAGTCTCTTCCCTGATTCACTTCTTTTGATTTTCGTCAGTTAAGATGTCAAGCTTTTGAAATCCATCAGTATTTAGACTGATGAACTCTAAGAAAATAAGTAAGAAATCAAGACTCGTTTAATACTATTCGCTCACTGATGTCCAATTTCAAGAACAAAGTGTCACACACCTACAGACTTAAAAGTCAATGGATTCACAATGAAGTTACCGCTAAAAATGTTGCCCAGATAGATAATGAGTGCTTCTCAACTATACCATCCAACTCATAGAATACAGCAACATCAAAAAATCAATATATATAGGTGGCAAAAGAGACTGATTATTGAATCACCTTTTGTCAACATATAATCGAGATGATGTATTACCCGTTCCAGATGTGCACGGAAACACATTACTGCAGAACACAGTGAAAAAATAGTGTTTTAATATAACTGGCTTATTGCTTGAAGAGTTGTATGCAGAATTATATATCTGTGAGTAATATAAAAGTACTGAGGAACAAGATTCGGATTCTCAACACTAAAGTAGAGTCACTGCTTGTATGTGGTTCAGAGACTTGGCAGGTGTGTCACCCAAAGAATTTCCAATAGGCTAATGTAGACTTTCATCAACACCTGCCCTCATCGGCTCCATACTGAAGATCAGAAGGCCCACCAGGAAGGATTAGCAGCAAGAGAATCTGGGGACTAACCAACAAAGAACCTTTCACCAAAAAAATACATAGAAGGAAATGGAGATGGACTGGACATACGCTGAGGAGATCATCTTTAAGTGACATCACACAACAGCACTCCGAATGGAATCCAAATGGGAAACAACAAAGAGATGGCACAGAAGACATAGTGTAAGAAGAAAATGGAAATGTATGGCAGTTGTGGAAACAACTAGAAAGGATCACAGAGAAGAGGATGAAATGGAGACCTGCTGTTGAAGCCACTTGGAACCAAAGTGAATAACAAGTGAAACATGTGTGGAATGATTAAAACGTATTATTGCACAACTCTTAGATATACTGACGCTAGGCTGTAATCCTTAGAGAATTCAATGAAACCAATGGGTTCATGAGCAGATTAGACTATAATTAAAAAACCTACTCAATTATTGAAATATTTTTCTTACTACTCTATCTGAATCATAAAAAAATGACAGTCATGCCCTAAGTAGTAGATTTAAGAAAATGCCATTTTCACTAGCCTCAATTATTCATTTCGCAAAGTTTCTTTGTTCACATGGAAAACAGTTAATGCTGACTAAATATCGGCATGGCGATGAACAAAGAATTTTTAATTAATGAATTATTTGTGATTACTTACTTTACATGAACCTCTTCTCTTTCCATAATAGCCTCTGGAGTGACTGCCTGCTTAAGTTGCATAACCATTCCAGCACGTATAGATTCTATAATGGCTGGTGTTCCACCTTCTTCACGCTCTTCAACTTCCTGTGTGGTTGGTAAAAAGAATATAAACATATTTACTTGAGGAATGATGATATTTAAAAATGACTTCGTCACAAGTCAGTGAACATTGGTTTTAAAAACCTGACCTTCTCTAACAAAACCAAGACTAAATGTTTAACTTAGTGGATCTTATGAAAGGCTTATCACCACTACCTAGGTGTTTACTATATTATATTACATTATTATTATTCGTCCCTTGGGTTCCGAGTGAAAAATATGGCTTCAGCTGCACATCTTCATTGCCCTTCGTTTTTGTCATCACTTTTAACCGGTTCCCCGACTTCCTGCAAGCTATCCTTCCATCCTCATATGTTCTCTATGTCAACCTCCGAAACCCAACTCGTCGGCTTACACTTCAGAGCAAATCTGGCGTTTGACGTCTATTTGATATATCCTTAGTATATATCAAATCCATCTCCATTTCCTTATGTCTATTTGTTGGGTGGTAGGTTACTGGTTTGTTCGCTACACTGCCAGAGTTACTTCTTGTTTATCCTTTCTAATAGGCTATCTGATCTTCACTGTTGAGCGAAGGGAGCAGCTGTTGATAAAAGTCATTGAATGGGAATATTTTATGACGCGCTACCCAAGTCCCTGAAGCATGTAGAAGCAGTAACTTAAAAATACATAATAGGGTGAGACAGAGTCAAAGTTCTAAGAAGTAATATAGGTAGATGGAGAGAGAGAGAGATTGGTTACTGAATCCTGCCTGGTTCATCGAGTCTACACCCAACACATGCAATAGGAATGACTCATCACTCATATCAGAAATGTGGAAAATATTACTACCAAGCAAATCAAGAGATGAGTAATTGTGGAAACATACAAATGAAGTTGGAAAGTAGTGTGAGTACTCCCTTGATATGGCTATGAGTGGTAATAAATTGTGCTCGAAACGTGGTCATCAGTAAATATTACTGTATAACACTGTGAGACTTTATCAAAATAAATTTCACCCATAATGGAATCCAGGAGTTTAGACCAGAGCTATATTATATGAATATGCAAAAAATGTGCCAAAAGGCTCTCTTTATAAATGTGTTGGCTTAAATGAATAAGACGTTATTGATAGCTATATACTTTGCATCGTATGACTGTTTTAGAATAAGCGTCGTTATATTTCGATTGAAGTATTACAATGCCACTGAAAGTTGTTTATTTGTAATACCACCTAAAACAGTCTGCCTAATCCATTCACCCATCTCCCATCTTACAGACAGCACTCACCACAGCATTTCAAACAGTTCTTCTTGTTAGAAGCACTGAAACTTCTCAAAGCTTCAGAGATCTCACAACAATATCAGATTAGCTACAATCACCCCAATACTTTCTTCCATCATAGTTTACATTAGCATATATGAAAGATAATGTTTTTAGGCGCCTATTTGACTAACTACATTTCATCATAGCCCAGAATAAGACAAAAACTCTCATGGCTACAAAATTATTAACCTGTTCGTACTTTGAGATAAACATGTTGATCTCTGCGAACAAAAAACACTGTACCACCACCACAACCACTTGGTTGTGCTTCACCGGCTTTAAAAAGGCACCGTTTAGCAATTAATACACCAGGTGTTTGTGGACCACCAATAAATTTGTGCATAGAAAAATAAATTGCATCTTTGTACACAAAATCACGATTAGGTCTGCTTAAAGGGAAAAGTGAAAAAATAGACAACAGTAAATATACATATATGTATCAAGATAAAAAGTGGGTTGAAGTACAAATTACTTACCTATTTCGGCTGTAATTCTATCAGTGATCAAACCAAACTTCTCCCTATACAGTCTGAAGGCGTAGAAAGGTAAATGCTTTATCATCTTATTTAGTCGCTATGACATATTCCTCGGAAGTAATCTGTATTATTATTAATGTTCCCTTGGGTTCCGAGTACAATATAGGGCTTCAAGAGAACATCTTCACTTCGTCCTATTCTAGTAGGTCCTCTTCAGCTGACTCCACAGCCTCTCATCTCCTCCATGTCACTCACAGACTCATTTCCATTCAGGGTTCCCCTTGAGTGGTGGCCTGGAGCGCGAAGTCACCCAACGGCCTCCTCAGCATGTGTCCAGTCCACCTTCATCTTCTTCGGGCATATTTGTCGAGTAATAGGTTTATGGTTGGTTCGTTTCCAGAGTCCCTTGTTGTTAATTCTTTCTGGTTGACCATCTGATCTTCAGTATAAAAGCCTAAAGTGGCCCGTTGGAAATGCCTTTCATAACGTGCACACCAAGTTTCTGATCCATTTTGAAGAACCGACTGACATAACATTGGTGTTAAAAATCCGAATTTTGTTCTTCGTGCTGAGTTCAGAAGATTTCACCTTTCCGATCCTGGTTTTGACATCCTCATCTGTGTCCCCCGTAGTTGAAACCCTGTTTCCTAGATGGATGATGGAAGTGACCTCTTTCAAATTTATTTCCTTGATAGTAATTGGTTTCTGTTGTTGTTGACTGGTTATTTTCATCACCTCCGTTTTCTCTATGTTCACTTGAAGTCCTGTCTTTGCTGATTCTTCTGTAGCCTTTGCTTACAACTAATTACTAAAAAACCGCTAATGCTACAGCAAACATCAAACAATAGGAAGAGCTCTACAGTGAGTATAATTCTATACTTTTGTATTATTTCGGGCTGCATTATATTTTTTTGAAACTCTCCGATACAACAGAGTTTCTTAAACTGCCAAAGGATAGATAGATAGATAGATAGATAGATAGATAGGTAGATAGATAGATAGATAGATAGATAGATAGATAGATAGTTGCTAATATTTGTTGACAAATTTCAGGTTTAATCACCGACTGACTTCATTTAGAGAACTAATGAGTAGCAGCGAGTACTGGGCAACTATTTTGTCCCTCCTTGTGACTCTTCATCAGTAACACCCATGCCCCATCAGGGATAGAACCAAGGACCTTCAGGTTACAGATCGAGCTAGTTGATGATTTACCTACCGGGCTGCAATCCAGTGGCCCATCATTCCTAACTTTTACCCATTCACGATATATGTCGCAATCACCAAAAAGTAAATACTTAGGAAGGCTAGTGTCATACGAAATATTATGCGAATAAAAGTACAGTGATATGAAATTTTGGAGAAAGTATACAAGTGTAGATATGCAAAGTAACACATCTTTTTGAAGACGAAAAGTTTTGGAATTACTAAAATCATACCTTGGGAATAAGTGTTGGTAGACGTACAAAATAAATGTAAGGCTTCTCGTCAAATTCTTTGTAGAGTCTAACATCAAACACACTTCACTCACCGAAGTAATCATATCATATTTTGGAATCCAGTATGTACTCAAGATAAATCATGAGCTTAATTCTATTAATTTTCCTCAATAAAAGTGCAAAAATTGAATGCTTTTAACCTTCTCATAGTCAAATCTCCGAATTTTTATACAGTTAAATAAGCCTACTTTCACTAAATCTTCTCCCGGTGGGTGCGTACTACTGAAGAGTCCCAAACTAGGACGAAACAGCTGTCCAGTCCCCCCAGGTTTTCCAATGGTTCTCTAACTAATGTCAGCTCACGATGAAATCCAGTAACTTCCCAAAAGCTTTGTAGTTAAGGTTTCTACTTTTACTTTTAATCACAAATCCAGCATGCCGACGTACCCTGAAGTAGTTGGATTCATGTCAATTTTTATATACGGAGCTGCAGTAGCATAATCCCAAAACGCCAGTCCACCATATCGATGAATAAGACTAGAGAATGCATCAACATCTACCAAAATTCCAGTTACATTAGAAGCAGCAGCCATGCAAACAATTAATTTACAGCCATGTTCTTTTGCTACAGCACTTTCAACCTAAATGTATGCATAAATTGAAATAATGAGAAGAAGAATAATTGGTATAAACATCAATATATTTACTGGAAGATATGTTAAGAGCATAAACATAACAATTCTTACTAACATTTAGCAGTCATCTCCCCAGTAAAATGCATATTATCACTGCCTCATCCATTTTCATTAGATTATAAGAACTATTATAGGCAAATGGCAACTACGCAGGCGTATCTTCTAGCGAGTACATTGAGTTTCAGGATTAGTAACTCTATTACCGTTTTGTTCAAATTTTCAAGGTACATCCACTTCTACAACTGGATGTTACTCTTGAAGCCCAGGTAAAATGAGTTTCTAGCAAAAGTTTAGATAGTGTGGTGGTAGATAAGCTCGAAAAATCCTTAGTCTACAGCATTCTTCTCATTCAACACTGGTTACTAACCTTTACTTTTTGAGTCGAGTTGTTAAGCTAAAGATAAATGGTCAAGCTCCAAGCCATTTGGCATTCTTTCCTGTTATGTTCTTTCATTTGTGCATGAGCCATAGCTACTTAAGTGGCCGTCCCAAGTCTGCGTTTCTGGTCTCGAAATAGGTCTCGTATTTTTAACGACCAGTTTATTGTTTATCCATATCTGATACTAAGTGAATGTTGGCAAATTTTCTACAGTTATGAACCGTTTCAGTTTAACTACTTTCACACTAGACAAGGTCCTTAATATATGTAATGTGGTAAACTACAGACCAATTAATTGCGAAACCCAAGTTATTGCACTAATCTACATAGAATTTTTCAGTTTTTAAGGTTCTGCATTATAGGTCTGGCTTCATATGACCAAACTGTTTTCTTCACTTGAAGGGGGCATGAAATAGACCAACAACATTGAAATGTTTTTTAGGTCTGAATAACTTGAACTTCACTCCACCACATTTATGCAAGTAAGGCCAGATGAAATACACCAAAGAACGAGAAATAAATAGGTAGTAAATAATTATGTAAGCAAAAGAATATAAAAACGTTTTACAGTTTGCCATATGCTATTTGAATTGAACCCAAAATCAAATGGCGACTTTACTAATGTGTGAAAAACCCACAAGACAAAGAATGCTTCTCAGGCCATATAAGCCTAACTTAACACTTTCTTCATCCTCACTGACAGATATGAATCGAAGAAACTAATCTAGTATGAAGGATTACTTTTGATTTTAATTAGGCGAAGAATTATGATTTCCAACTGGAAGTAATAGATGCTTAATGTTACAGAAAAACTTTAAGGAAGGGCGGATAAGAGCTGCTTTTTAGTTCTATGGTAAAATCTTCATTAACTTCTAGGACTCAAAAGTTAATCGAATTTGATGACACTGATTGATCAATAATACAACAGCTTCTGAGAAATTTCAAACCACTACTTAAATAAAAAATTAGGGTATGTTGGAAGTGTGGATTCAACCTAGGATCCATAGTCGACAAGTTGTTATACCAGTCGGACATTCACCTTTTTAAAAGAGTCTTTAGCTCTTCACTTGATGCTGACCTCATGAACAAGATGTAATCACATAAAATCAGTGTATTTTTGATAATAATCTGAGCAACAAATGCAGAGTTCAGTCCGACTGAATTCCTGTAACTTGAAATTTAGATTTAATAAGAAAAAATACAAACTTGATAATTACAGTATTACTAGGAAACCATTTAAAGTATTTCCCAGGGCACGATATGAAAAATCGTCTAAATGACTGATTAACTTATAATTTCGAATATTTATTTAGTTTAGAGCTACTTTTTGTACAACTTCCCAAGCTTACTATAATGCTGAATTAAATCTAACTCTCTATAGTGAGTGAATTCTGAATCTGTTCTGAAATGGATTCTTTAATGGCGCAGACTAGAACTCAGTGCTGGTTTTCAGCATGACTGGCACTAATTCAGCACTGTGTTCTTTTTCTAGGCATTTTCACTAGTAGATCCGAACCTACTGGGTTTGCTTATCAGCGTTGTTATAGCCCTCACAGGACATATTAAGTACGGGCTAGCGTTACTTGAGAACGAAAAGACCTAATTCAGCACCCAGCTCTCTTCTTAAGCACGACCAGCGTTATTTCAGAACATAGTGGGTAGATAAAATATTCATTTACCACAAAAAGGCATTATCGAAGAGCAGGTTAGAATAAGTTTAGAATTGTTGTAAGCTAGGTTGATGTAACCTATATCATGAAAATACCTCGGTGAAATCTTTCGGAGATGCGGCTTAATGTGTTCAAGACTATAGGCGTTAATAGCTTAGATCTTTGGAAAATTGAATGCGTACAAGGATTTTTCGTTGATTTCAACCCCTTTATATTATACTTACTGGTTAATATTCATAGCAAACTTATCATGTTACACACATACTTAATCTACCTTTAGAATAGCTTCCAGACACTCCAGAGAAATAGTCCCTGAGAAATCTGTCTCCACTCTTGAAATACGCATGGCTAGATGTCGCCACGGTAATATATTTGAATGATGTTCAAATGGTCCAACGATAACAATCTATAAGTGAAATAAAGAAAATTCACATTACAGGAGGCTTTTCAAGGTGCAAATTATGAATAAGCTTGTGAATGGCTCCAGTACAACCACTCCCAACAAATATTACGGCGTCTTCTTCAGATGCACCTACAGAATTTCTAATAATTTCCCTTGCCTGATGACGGAACATGGTTGTCTGAAGAGAATTGAGACTTGTGGTGGTATGAGTATTACCGTACACTGGCAATACTTCAGCACGAATGAAGTCCTCTATGAATGATAAAGACCTTCCTGATGCAGTCCAATCACAATATACAACTGTTAAATATTGATTCACAGAAAATGAACTCACCTCTCCTGTCTCCATAAGGTCCTCTAAACACTTGATCAATACCTATTGTGCTTTCGTTTATATAAGACATTATTCCGGATGACATAGAAGCATTATTTGTAGCATTATTAAAACAATTACTTGAAGATGAACTTATAACTCTTGAGAAAGTATGTAGCAGTGATTTGGACAAGTCTAAGTTAGGTTTATTAGGCAAAGTATGGAAAATGTGATGGAAAGACTGTGCATCTGACCCATGGAAACACTTTTCTGACTCTATATGCATTGTTGTATTTCGCAAATTTTGAAAAAACGCTTTGATATGTTTTCGTGAAGTACATAATAGCCTCATAAAACAAACTTATTTTACAAACTTAGTGAGTTTTATGGTCGGAAACATTATTTCATCGTTCTCTTATTGTTTATTCATACCCTTTTTTGATTAACCATTATACTAAAAAAAGTTAAGGCTTTTCTTCACTAATGAAGGTCTTTGTCAGCTGTTCTCTAATGACCTTGGGCGGGCTACTGGCGGTGCAATAATGTTGACTTTTATTTATGTTTAACCGTCCGGTAGTGCAAAATGTTTCCTGTTGGTCAAGGGAAGTACGAGAGTTTGGTTAATGAAGACGATCACTTACACACTGATACAAATGTTAGAGTGAATACTGCTTATGGCAAAAGAGGAGCATGGGATCACATACAAAATCTGGATCAGTTCTTCTCAGATATATATAAATACCACCAATGCGGAGGATTCGTCGTAAGTCTAACAACTTTTTATTTCATTATTCTTACTTTTATTCTCACTCATTCAGTTGAATAACAAACCTAGGCTTCAGACAGTCATGTGTTGCTTAGCTGTAGGTGCACCTACATCGTTGTGTTTCTGAAATACAGCTTAACTCAGTTCTTTGAAAACTTATTACACTTCTGACACTCCTGTCTTAGTTGTATAGTATCCCAAAACCACATTGTTGCGTTTTTCGTTATTTTATTGGGTTGAAGATGGCTTAGTTTTCTAGATGCAAAAGCCTTTTATAACGTTTTAAAACATGTTCTGATCAAATCTTAAAATACGTTCGATTAATTGCTATTTTAAATGTACTACATTGTTTAGTAACCTCCAAATTAAGTCTCATGACTAATTAAGAAATAGTGCACATTCCACTATTCATACAGGTACTCCCCATTGTTGCTTGCCAAGTTACTCTGAATGTTGAAGTTCCATTCTGATTCTGATTCAGATTATAAGGATAGAAGGCTCTTGTTGCCTATTTTAATCCTCGTGATATATATATATCTCTGCAGAGATCCAGTTTCTCTTTGAAAGCGTTCTCCGATGGAGCTGTTACTACTGAATCAGGTAAGGAGTTCCAGTCGTTGACCACTCTGTGAGAGAATCTAAACTCCAAACGTATTTTATTCGACCTCGGTTTGAGCACCTGCTTCTGGTGACCCCGTAAATGTATCCTAAAGGGAGAGAAAAGGTTTGAAAGGTCAATCCCTAAATCACCCTTGAATTTACGGTAAGCCAAAATTAAGTCGCCTCTCCTCCTTCGGTATGATAATTGGAAGAGATTTAAATGCTCTATCCTCATGTCATAAGGAAAGTGTGAGATACCACTAACTAATTTCGTTCCTACCCTCTGTACTTCAACTTAGACAGTAGTTTCAGAACCACTGCACCATCTACCACAATTGGGGTCGTTTTAGGGGCTACATTAGTTACCTCGCTACACCCCTGGGTGGTATGATTAGGCGAGAAAACATCACAGAAATATTCGGAGAGCTCCTCAGCCTTTGTTTCATCTGACTTGGCAGCCTCTCCTGTGTTGCTAATGAGGGACGGTATGCCACTGCTAGTTTTAGTCCTGCGTTTGATATATGAGTACAGTCTTTCTGGATAATGCACACAATCCAGTACTAACTGTCTCTCATACTCTATATGACTTTTGTCAATCTCATACTTACAAAGGTTTTGAACTTTGCGGTACTCCACCCGAAACTCATCCCTCCCAGTCACAGCAAACCGATCCCATAAGTTCTTTCGTTTTCTTAATAACCTTATTTCATCCAAGGTGGTTTATGAGATAGTTTTCGAGGCGTAGACCAAGGTACAAAGGGTGCAGTGACGCACTCTAGTGTGTTCCTAAATCCCATCCTAGCCTTCTCGACAGTCTGGCGTGTATTAACAGACCAGTCAGCTAGGGTTGCTGCATTTCGGATTGCAGGTATATTCGCTTTCCAAACGTTTGGGCGAGCGGCTGTTGACCTATGTATGATGGCCTGGATCCTGAACATAAAAGTAATAACTTTGTGGTCACTACTGCCTAGCGGCGCCAGGCACCTAATGTTACCGACATCCTCCTTTTGGTGTGTTACCACCAAGTCTAGAGTAGACGGATCATGTTCAGGATGGTATCCATATGCTGCACAAGTACGTATTCAAGTACTGCCAGTATGAGTTCCCTGTTGAAACAATTGTACGAAGTAGCTGATGTTAATTCCTCCCAATTTATATGTGGGGCATTAAAGTCACCTACTATTAGACACCTATTCTTTCTACTCCACGTCCTGAGGTGATTTATAACGAAATTGTCAGCTTGCTTATAAATCACCTCAGGACGTGGAGTAGAAAGAATAGGTGTCTAATAGTAGGTGATTTTAATTCTACAAAGATTATTTATATATAATTATACAATCAACGGCTAATGAATAGTTAAATGTCTCTGAGGCAACTAAGTCAAACTAGTGTTTACTCACTTAAAAGGTTAGGACAGTCTAATGCTCTCATGGTCGTATTATGGATTGTTGTTGGCTGTGGTCGCTATTCTTTATTGTGCTTTTAAATAGGTTAATCTTTCCTTTATGGCTTATGAATCCGCTGTTTTATCATCCATTTAGTCATAAATACCTGTGGCTGGTCTTTGCAAATGTAAAGATTTCGCTTTAGAGTAACAGTTAGACAATTTGCTTATTTGCAGCAGCCCTTCAATTATGTATCTACTCACTGAATCTTTTATTGTACTGTGATTGACTAGTACTTTAGCCATTATTCTTTATTCTTGTTCTTGAATACTTTACCAGTTGTGATAATAATAACCACTGGAAGTCCTGAGAAAATAACTTATTGCATTATCCACTAGCTGACTCCCTTAGGCCTATCTCAGTCGTTAAGTAGTGTGTAAGTAAAATCGAAGTATTCCAAGTTGTTGTTTACAAAGTTACATTAAACTTTGAATTCAGCCTGAATTGATAGTTGGAGATCATGTAATTAAGGTCACTTTATGCCAGGTATATCTTTAACTTACATCTCTTTAAGTCCTGATAATCTTATCGTACTATGCATTTTCCTTGCCTCCTTGACACTCATCAACACCTGTCCTTCTAAAGTCGCATTACTTTATTGATGTAAAACATGGTAGTTAAGTATGATGATAAATTTGTCTTGAATCCTATTATTAGTTACCCCACCAAAACCTTTAGAATAATAAAACACTGTAAATAACAGAATTTTGTTAGAATTCCAGGTGCCTTATGTGATGTTGGAAGTGTATAATGAAACTTGATATATTAGAGTAAATGAATGCTAACTTCAAGGGACAGCTGAAACAAGCAACATTTTGAAAGTTTATGCATTCTCTCTCTTATGTTAAGTGGTACAATATGGTGAGCAATATCGAGGTTAGGCTTAGTGTTCGGTAAGGAAGGGAAGTTAATCGATGAGGTCGTGAAGCCACATCGATCAAGTTAGCTGGGAGATGTGTTGCACATACCGAGCCATTATCTTCCTCGATGGGCAATATTAGCCGACATAGGATTGGGTTGGAAAACAGTTAAAAGTTATCAAACCAAAACCTGGCCTCAGTCCATTAAATCTTTAGCAGTTTTAGCCACGTGGGAAAATGCTGGCTGCTTGGTTGGGGATCTGAAGAGGCTAAGAACCAATGGCTGAAGACTACTGGTGATGTTTTGTTCTCCGTTATTACTATTCCTTTGTCTCACACCTCTGTTTACTGACTATATTATGCATTTCTTCTACTTTCTTCTCTTGCTTTGTGTGCTACATGGAGTGTGGCGACTTGAACTGCCGCACATATGTGCAAAGTTCTATGTCGAAAACCGACCAACCGACTGGTGATGTGGCTCAAAATCGTAATCAGTAGCGCAAATGCGCACACTCTTTATGCTCTCCCATCTCCACTAAACTTCAATGTTTTCCATGTTGCTATTCCTTCACATTGGTGCACTTCTAAATATTTTGTTCTCTTTTATCTAACTTTATGTGCTTAGTAGAGTGTGGCAACTCGAAGTGCTGCACTTCTGTGCTATGTTGAAATTTAGTCATTCTGAAACTTCTAAGCCTTATAAATTTTGATCAGTTCTTCCAAAAACACCTGCTAAGAAGTCAAAACATAATGGACACTAATTTTTTGTAACTGACCGCATCTAACCCCGATTTTGTCAAGAAATAATAGCACACACAGACACTGACTGACTCACTGATTTTCAACATAGAACTTCGCACATAGAGGTGCAGCCGTTCAGGTCACCATACTCCATGTAGCATACAGAGGAAAAAAGAGATGCGAAAGAACTCTAATAAGCAGAAATGTGAAGGGGAAAGAATCGTTACATGTAAACAATGGGGGGGGGGTAATGGATATGCGAGACCACAAAGAATGAATGCATCTGCATCATTGAGAATGATTTTGAGCCATATCTCCAGTAGTCTCTAACCGTTGGTTGTTAACAACCCATGGAACCCAACCAGGCAGTCTACAATTCCCTACCTGACGCAAATCAACTGTTAAGGAATTGATGGATTGATTCTAGGCTTCATTTTGACAATCCATAACTCTTTTACAACCTAATCGCCTTTATCATCTAACATTGTTCGACAAGAAAGGTGATGGTTCAGAATGAATAACACGTGTCCTAGCTATCTTAATTGATATAATTTCACAAGCTCACTGGCTAACTTCCCTTTCTTGTCTAGCACTCTAGACCTAACGTCAATATTACTGACCATGTTATGAAACTTAACACAAGAGGTAGAACGCAGGTATTTGTGGTCAAGGACAGAGAGTCTTTGTCACATTATTACCATTATCATACTTTTATGCTTAACCTAGTGTAACTTCATCACCCTTCAACGGGTTTGTCTTTTATCGTATAACAGTAATAACCTGCTAATAGTCGTCTGTGGTATTGTAGAGCTTCAGAATACAAATCTCTCAACTAGCACGCTTAGATGGCGGTACCAGTTGTCAGTCAGATTCTGTGGAAACAGATTAGTAGAAATCTACAGGTCTGCCTTTGCATACACTAGTGGTTTTTGTTGGTACTAACATATTATTCTATTATGTTATGTCATAACCCAGGATTAGATGTTTACAACGATGACTTGGTCTAGCACCCCTACCTTTACAAAAAGCACGTGCGAGTTTGCATTATAGATCATAAATCAAGTAAAATGATAATGTTCGTTGGAAGTCAGTAGTTTTGCATTTTAAATACATATTAACTAGCAGATTTAATACGAAGCCGTGAAAATTAATCGGTGTCAGTCAAAATGTTTTGAACATATAGTAAAGGTGAATAGTTATAGATAGGGTGTTGTATCAGCTAGCTGCCTTTGATCACGTATGTTTGCTTTTTCCTCTCGTGTTAAGTGGTATAATACAGTGGACAATTTAGGGATTTGACCTGAAATGTCAGGTAAGGAGAGCCAGTCAATCAATGAGGCTCTGAAGCTCT